TAGCCAGATGGGTTAGCTTTCCAACGCATTTTGAATCGCCTCAATCGAACATCGGAATACAAAGTTATGATAAAAATACTGAAAGAAGGTGCAGCTGCCTGTTTAAAACAAGAAATTCCGTTACATAATCCATTAAAACAACAAATTCCATTAGTTTTTCCGTTAAACCAACAAATTCCGTTAAATAGACACTTTTTATATATAGAAAGATATGTAAAAGGATGACTTGTCCTCACACATAATTTATGTCATGTCATTAGTTTCATTAATTCAGCATACGTATTATCAAAGTGCTTAAAAAAAATTAGAAGTTATTTATATACTTCACCCTCGTAATATTAAATTTTTACTTGTAAATATTAAAATAGCAACGCATATAAACATGTTTAGAAATATAAATTAGTTCGAAACTAAATTTGAATTACTTTAAAATTTAGCCAAACATGTTGGATTGATCTCAGAAAGATTTTTATTCTAAATTTATGATAATTATTTTTTTATATTTATCATTTTGATAAAAGAAATTAAGGACAGTTTCGAGTGCACGGTCTTTTCAAATTCACCATCAGATATTAGACATTAACTAAATTATAATTCCTTTTTCAAGCACGAAAGAGGTTATACTTCTTAATGAAAAGAGAGATACTATAGTTCATAATAGAGATGTATTGTCATGCATTCGTCAAAATCATCCAGCATTTGCACTTGATGGCAGCCAAGTTGAGTTCTCCCATAGAAGAATTCAAATCCTATTTTTCACTTATTCATCTTATAGTAATTTTATTACGTTGAAAATGCTGTTGCTTCAAGGGCAAAAGATCACTTGACAATTAGTTGCCCTGGGACAAGTAAATAAGCTAGTCCTATCATCTTTAGGGTAACTATATGCATCGGGGCACTTGTCCTTGAAAAACTTAGAATACTTTATGGGGTCACAGTTGTCGGAGTTGCAATAGTATTCTTTTGTCTTGAATACCGTGCATGAGTTTTTACAACCGTCGGGTGCCTTCAACTCATTCGGACACTGGCCATTGATGTCGGCAGTGCAACGAATTCCACGGGCTCAACCACTGGTGGGACTAAAATCCATTGGCACGTTAAACCCATCAACAAGGGATATTTCGATGCAGTCAAGTTATTGAATTGGTTGAGGAATATTCAGCTAGAGTGTTAGGTGGTGCACCATAGGCTTGACACTTAAGTAGCCCATTGCAATCTCCTGTTTGACAATGACCGTGGCTAGAGCTTTCGAAGCTGCAACTTGTTCGAGCCCAAATTCGGGCCCTTTTAGTGCCCGCACCAGGGTTGATGGTCCAAGTTTGGCCATTGTTGAGCTGCATGCCTCCATCGGGTACAGCAGCGCCCAGACTATAAAGGGACAATTGTTACAGATTTCAAATGTAGCTGCACGAGTGTAGTGGAAGAAAAGGGAAGCAAGAGAAAAAATGAAAATGGAAATGGAGATTGATTTTAAGAAGCCCATGTTTAGAATGGAGGGATATGTTGGAAAATTAGGAAATTTACGCCAATTTCCTTTCTTCTTATTACCCGTAGGATCTTTTGTTGTTCAGAA